TGTATGTGTGAAATGTGCCCTAGAAAACACGGTGGGTCTGGTTACCCTGCACATAATCTGCTTCCAGTGATAAAAAGTCTCAAAAGCGAGTGAATGAAAATTTGTGAATTTTATCAGACAGTTCAGAATCGTTTTAAATTTGGTGCTTGGTCTGGATCTAACACTTTATTCAGAATTCAGATGTGAAAAGCAATGATTTTAAACCAGACACTCTATGGATCCGTCCTAATGGAGCTCATTCGGTCAGAATGACCCATCTTTAATCAGGTTGTTGACATTTAATTGATAAACCAAAATTACTATTTTATTTTTTAAAGTTATGTTTTTTTTACCCACAATGTATTAATTTTTTACCTTATCTATTACAGATAATTTAAGCTCTTGGCGAGCGTCGTACTTGAAATGTTCAGATTACGGACAATATCGCTATGGTCCTTCGCTGGGATTTCCATTCTCTTAATTGCATCATACGTGACGTATGCCCCTGTATCGAAGGCCGACGCACAGCTTCGCCCATTCCCTCAGGAGGTTAAATGTCCAGAAAGTTTATCTGACGCAAGAAACAAATCTCGTATTACAACACAAGGGGGTCGGATATTTTTCCTTGAAACCTCCGAGAGGACAATCCCCAACTTTCAGGCCATGTGTGCCGTAGAATCTGCTGCCATCACCCACCCAAACACCAAAGTCACTGTCTTCATGAAAGGATTATCCAGCCAGACCCTCCCGCTGCCACGGAACCTCGGATTTTCGTTCCTAAGCTGTTTCCCCAATGTTGAATTTGCACCTTTGAACTTTAAGGAACTTTTTGCCAACACCCCTCTCAGTGGTTGGTACACTGCGGTGGAAAAAAACGAGCAGTTTTCTGACTTTCCCATCGATTCTGATGCCTGCCGGCTGGCTATCCTCTGGAAGTCAGGAGGTATCTACTTAGATACTGATTTCATAATCCTGAAGAATCTAGAAAATCTCACAAACATGATAGGAATGCAATCTCTGTATACGCTAAATGGCGCTTTCTTAGCCTTCGAGGCCCGGCATCGGTTTATTAAGTTGTGCATGGAGGACTTTGTTAACAGATATAATTACTGGTTTTACGGACATCAAGGACCTCAGCTCCTGACTCGGGTTTATAAATGGTGGTGTTTGATCCATAGATTAAGGGACCGAAAAGAGTGCAGGGGAGTCAGTATACTCCCTAAAGAAGCCTTTTACCCGGTTGACTGGCAGGACTGGAGGAAACTTTTTGAGACTATCAGCAGAAAAGACCTTAAAGTGCTACTAATGAACACATATGGCCTCCACCTCTGGAATAAGAAGAGCCAGGGAGGGCAACACAAGGAGGGATCGATGATAGATCAGTTAGAAGCAGAATTCTGTCCTGAAACATATAAACTAATGAAGATGTGTCTTTGAAACTGTGACAACAAATCCTCAAACATCACAATTCGAAACCAAATAAGTCAGACTGATATCTGTCCCTTCAGAAACCCTTAGAATGTGCTGAATGTGTGTGTGGGCATTTCCTGGAAGCGTCCTTAACACACATTGTATTAATAATTACAAACTGTACCTTCTAAAAGGGATCACAAAGTATTTTATATTATCCTACCCAGTGGCGTACACATGATTCATGGGGCACCGGTGCGAGAACTGATCCATGTGCCCCCCCTCCCCCTTGCTCTTACACTGCGTGGGCCCACCTTCACAAGGGTTGGGGGGACCTAAGGACTATATAGCGCCAGGAAAACAAGTTTGTTTTCCTGGCACTATAGTGGTCCTTTAATGACAAACATTCAAATACACTTACAGACAAACAGATACCCATGCAGACCAAGAGATACACATACAGACCCACATACAGACACACACACAGACACACAGAGATACACATACAGACACACAGAGATACACATACATACACACACACACACATGCAGACACACACACACACACACTCATAGTGACAGACCCACATACATACTCACTGACAAACACATATACACTCACTAACAAACACACGCTCACTAATAGACATGTATACACACACACTCACTAACAGACACACACACACTCTCACGAACAGATGCATACACACTAGCTAACAGACACACACATTTACTGACAGACACACACTCAGTGACAGACAGACACGCATACACACTCACTTATAAAACATACACTCTCACTGACTAACACACACTCACTAACAGACACCAAACAGACTCACTAACAGACACACGATCAATAACAGACACACACAAACTAACACACTCAGTAACAGACACACACACAGTAACACACTCACTAACACACACACTCACTGACACACAAAAACTAACACACTCCAAGATTAATGGAAGCTATAGCACAGTCTAAACTAGGAAACCACTCGAAACACATTGAAGTTTGGAACCTCTGGATCACATTTAGCAAAAACAGGGCATCCTCGACGGACGGGACGGACTGTCACAGGGGGGGGGGGGAGGAGTGGAGGTACTGAAGTGGGGATGACTCGCAAGGGCCAACAGAGCATTCGGAAACAGGTACCAACGAAATAGTAACTATACAGTAGACCTAACAAAGTCAACGAAACCCCACAGACAAAAATTCAGACCTGAGTGACGATTACAGTTAACGCGCAATCAACTCCAACGACTGTGACTCAAAAATACAAGAGATGGCCCACACAGACCGAACGAGCTACAGACAAACATAGTATTATTATTAGTACTTATACTCATACCACAACGCAGCCTTTAGGCTCTCTTAGTAGACAAGGTACCCAAAGCGTGACTAAATTTCCCACGAAACTAACTATCGACACCAAATTCCCACCTAGCACGAATAAGACCCTAGTAGACCATACAGCTGAGACAACTACATTCGGTATAAGCAAAAGGTATAACTTTGTCATTCTTTGTATTCATTGTATCCATGAAAACCATGTTCTGTACATATGCTTGTACCGTCAAAACTGCATGTTTTCTTACTGATGTTATACTCAAAATGTATCGAAACACGTTTTATCTGACAAAAATAAAAATAAATTTAAATATAAAAAAAAAAAAAAAAAACTAACACACTCACAGACACTCAGTAGCAGACACTCACTAACAGACACACAATCAATAACAGACACACACAAACTAACACACACACACACATACACACTCACATTTTTTTTTATTTAATCCCCCATCCTCCCTACCTTTGGGAGTGCTGAGGGGATTCCACCTTTCCATGGGGTCCAATGGGGCTGCTGGGTGGGCAGTCACTGCTGGCGTCGAGGGAGCACTGATGCCAGAGCTGGAGTGACATCATATTCCGGCTCCGGCGTCACTACGCGGCGTGCGAGGGAGCTGAACAGGAGAATCAGTGCTCCCTCGCCGCCTGCAGTGACCGGCCGCAAAATGACGCCACTGCCAGCCGCGGGGGAGAGTAGGGGGGGGGGGCCTGATGTGGCCAGCTCCTGGGCCCCCCAGGAGAAGTGGCTGGACTGGCGTACATACCGGGTCGCAGGGCGGCAGGGCCCCCCCGAGGCTTATATACGCCAGTGATCCTACCTAGATCCTGGAAAAAGATGGCCTCTCAGAAAGCGATTGGGATAGTTATACTGAGAGAATGGGTGTGGCAAAACCGACCTCGCCACGTGTCCTTGGAGGGGGCTGCTTGCCCGCCTCTTGCCTTTGGACTATGGCCCTGCAGGTTAAACTGTTTATTTTCCCTGCAGAAAGGCTTATTCGTTTGATCTGAGTGCCATTCATCTAATAATGTGCAGTCAGATCCAAGCTATCTGGGGATATGTAGAAATGTGTGTTTTATGTACTAAATGTGTCAGTATGTAATTTTATATCTTTTACTGTCTTTTTGTCTGCCATGTGGGTAATGGAGTTTGGCTCTGTCTTTGGAGATAATTAGATTCCTTCTCCAATTATCTCCAGGGCAGAAGGGAGGAAGCCAGGATGCATTGTGGGGATGTTTTACTTTTACTGTTTGAGCCAGGGGGAACAAAATATACTTTTACTAACTTTTGAACCCCTGGTCTGATTCATGCCATTTTTTAATATGTTGTTCCCCTGAATGGATTGATTGTGAATATGTATTTTTATGCGAATGTGATGTATATTTTAGGAGTTATGAATGTTGTGTAAAAACTGTATTTTCCCTACCTATGATAATTGTATTTCCCTGTGTGTACAGATAATTAGTTTACAGGTAGAGGGGAGGGCTATGTGTGGGATGTAACTATTATGTGATTGGTTAATGTACGTTACTGTGTGTGTCCCTCCCCTTCATGGGAGCACCTAATAAAAAGGGCTGCAAGCTAGCAGCCAGAGAGTTCTATTTTTACCCTCAACTTGAGTCCTGTCTCTTATTGGGGAATCTGCTACAAGGGATTGCTAGGCATATTCCCTTGCTATAATCACTGAGCTCTTGTAAGAGCTTGTTCCTGCTTCGTTCTGAAGGGAGATAGCTGCAGCCTGCGGTGCTTATGGTGTCTGGTGGAGTGCTTGGAGTCCTCTGGAAGCGCTAGGAGCATCTTTCAACGGAGGTACCCAGTCGGGGTACCAGGTGATCCGTTACATTGGTGGCAGCGGTGGGATGGCATCCTAGTGCGAGGAGAAGCAGCTCGGAGACACCGGTAACGTGTGGAGTTGTGCAGCGTCCTTATCTTCAGCAACATAATGGAACCAGCAGTGGCTACAGCAAGCATGGCGTATAGCTACTCCGTACTAGAGTTTGGCACGATGGTAGGGTTGCACCTGAAGTTTTACGGACCCAATCCAGAGGAGAAATACGTGCAGTTCGTGTGGGACATGGTGACCCGGAACCTACAACACAGGGCGTTGAGGGAAGGCCAGTGGGCGCGTTGGGAGAAACTCCAGCCACAGGTAGAGTGGGACGAGGAAGAAACCGAGGTGGCCGGTGGAGATGGGACCGAGGTCTCTCTACCGGCCCTACAGGGATGCTGGGCACCTGGCCCAGATCCCCAGCGGCAGTATGTTTTACAGGGAGGGGAGACAGTCGGTCTCACTCCCCAGCGGCAGAATGTGTTATTGGAGGAAGAGACAACCGGTCTCCCTCCCCAACAGCAACCAGAGGTACCCGAGGTAGAGGACCTCATAGACTGGTCCTGGGAGGACCCCTGCAGGCAGGTGGAGATGGGACCGAGATCTCTCCACCGGCCCTACAGGGATGCTGGGCAACCGGCCCAGATCCCCAACTAGAGCTGGAGTTACAGAAGGTGGAGAGCATCGACCTCCCCCCCCAGCAGCAGCCGGAGTACCAGGGGGAGGTAAGTGATATTTCTCCTCCCCAGCCAACTCCTTTGTTCCCTGACCCCCCAGCAGAAGGGCTGGCAACTGGGCAGAGCGCCGCTGGCCTCTGTCCTCCCTTGTTTCCTTCCCCTGAGCCTGACTTTCTACAGGCTGCCCCAGCGGAAGGTGCCGTCCTTCCTCCCCAGCGGCAGTGCGTACCCCAGGGAGCTGATGGTGTCGTCCGTCCTCCCCAGCAGCAGTGTGTACCCCAGGGAGCTGAAGGTGTCGTCCTTCCTCCCCAGCGGCAGTGTGTCCTGCAGGGAGCAGAGACCGTCAGTCTCACACCCCAGCAGCAGGACAAAATAATGAAAGGGGAGACAGCTGGTCCGCCTCTCCACCAGCAGAGAGAGTGTCAGGGAGAGGAGCCTGTTAACCCCTCTCCCCAGCGGCAGTTGACAGTCCAGAGAGAGGAGCTTGTTGCACCCTCTCTCCAGCGGCAGCCTAACCCACCAAGGGGAGATGTTGAGCCCTGCAACTGTGCAGATGGGACCGTAGTCTCTGCGCTTACAGCCCAAGGGGTAGAGACGGTCGGTCCTGTTCCCCAGCCCCAGAGCTGTGTACCCAGAGGGGAGACTGTCGGTCTCCCCCTCCCACAACCAGGCTCCAATCAGGCTACTTCGGTGGTAGCACTGGCACCAGGGCAGAGTACCGCTGGTCTCTGCCCACTCAGCAACCCACCAAGGCAGTCTACCAGCTCCCCACACAGCCGTGGTGAGGCACCTGGACATGGACAAGTTGCTACTTTATCCAGGTGGAGTAAACATTTATAGTGGGTGGGCTGTACTGCTGTTTGTGCTTTGTGGGTGGGTTGCTGGACTAACCAGGGCACTGACCGGCAGGAGGTCAGATACCCTGTTAGTCTGGGGGGCAAAGGGGAGAAGTGTGGCAAAACCGACCTCGCCACGTGTCCTTGGAGGGGGCTGCTTGCCCGCCTCTTGCCTTTGGACTATGGCCCTGCAGGTTAAACTGTTTATTTTCCCTGCAGAAAGGCTTATTAGTGTGATCTGAGTGCCATTCATCTAATAATGTGCAGTCAGATCCAAGCTATCTGGGGATATGTAGAAATGTGTGTTTTATGTACTAAATGTGTCAGTA